AGAGAGAGAGAGAGAGAGAGAGAGAGAGAGAGAGAGAGAGAGAGAGAGAGGGGGGATGCACAGAGAACGAGTCGCGTGTCGAGCAACCAATAATGGTAACGGTGGTGGTGTTGGTGGTGGTGGCGGTGGGGAGCCTGCCGCCTTGTCTTCGATGCACCCGTCCGTTTGAGCTCGGGCCGGCCCGTGTGCATTTGACACGCACGATATCACTCTGTCTCATCACAATGCTACGCGGGGGAGCGCCGTCCCCGTCCCCGTCGCGCCACTCCGCCATCCTCGTTCCTCGACACCATGGGAAGGAACCCGCGCGTTTCTCGTTGGCCTTTGACAGGGGGGCAGACGGTGGGTACGAGGCGGGATGGGTCACGGAGGATCCCACGGCGTCTCGCCTCTGGCTTTAGCTTTTTGATGACAGCGACGTCCGCAACGTACGGCAACGACGCTGGCGGCGAGCACAAAAGTGTCGTACGGAGATCCGTCGGTACAAAGTCGGCTGGATGAAGGGGGACGCCTACCTGTCGAACCTTCCCCCCTTCGCTCGCGCCCTCGCTCCTCAACGACGAGCCAAAAAGGATCCACTGGTTGCCATGTCATCAAACGGCGATGGGGGGAATCGGAACGCGGGCGACCGAGGAGCATGCCGACCCGGTGCGGGGCCGAGCGAGATCCTATGTTGCCATTCCCTCCTGTACCTGTCGTCGTCGACGGGCAAGATCCAATGTTGCCACCTGCAAGCGAGGGTGGGGTCGCCGTCGAGGACGCAGCAGTGTATAAAGCTCGGGAGGTGGCGACAGCGGCAGCGGTGGTGGTGGTGGTGGTGGTGGTAGTAGTAGCGAGGCAAGCCAAGCCAAGGCAAGAAGGCAGGCTTGCTGATGGCCCATGCGCCCCGCCCCGCCCCGCCCCGCCTTCCGGCCCGCGTTCCGTGCCCGGCGACTGGCAGATCCGGTGAGCCGGTGTGGTGGGGAGGGCGCGCAACAGAGAGGCAGAGAGAGTCTTCCTTTGCTCGCTTCGCTGCCAGGCCGCGCTCGCCTCTAGCTACTCTGCCAGCCAAACCTCGCTCGCTACCCCACATTCTCTGCACCTCGTACCATCACCCACACCATCGCCATCACCATCACCGTCGCCACCTGCCCACCACCAGCCGCCGGATCAAAGCGATATCGAACAGCACACGATGGCAGACAACAGACCCGGAGTGCAGAGCCCGCATCCGCGCGTGGCCGATATCGATGCCGAGTCGTTTGACTATGCGTGAGTCTCGCCTCCCGCGCATCGCTGCCTCTCTGGTTGGGGGCGCTGACCTACGACCCTGCTGGGAATCACCTCTGCCTTGCCTCTTGCTTGGAACCACCGTCGATGCAGCACCTACGCGTGGCAGGACATCCTCGTCTCGCTCGACGCATCGACGGGGATCGCCACGGTGCACCTGCACCGACCCGCCAAGGCCAACGCCTACACCTCGGCCATGGCCTTTTCCCTCCAGTTCGCCTTTGAGCTCTTCGACGTCGACCCGCGCGTCAAGGTGGCCATACTGACGGGCACCGGCAAGACGTTTTGCGTCGGCGCCGACCTCTCGATGGGCTTCCGCAAGTCGGCCACCTACGCCCAGCAGCACCGCGACGAGGGCGGCGTGTGCTCCCTCGCCATCCTCCGCTGCCGCAAACCCACCATCGCCGCCGTCAACGGCACCGCCGTCGGCATCGGAATGACCATGATCCTCGCGTGCGACTTCCGCCTCGTCACCAACAACGCCAAAGTCGGCATCCCCTTCACCAAGCGCGGCATCGCCATGGAGGCCGCATCGTCGTTCCTCCTCCCGCGCCTCGTCGGCGTCACAAAGGCCCTTGACATCATCCTCACCGGCGACATCCGCTCCCCCTCGGACCCCTCGTTCGCCGCCCTCTGGACCCGTGCCCCCTACCCGACCGCCGACGACGTCCTCGACGCCACCCGCAAGCTCGCACACCAGCTCGCCACCCAGAACAGCACCATCAGCATGGCCCTCTGCAAGCTCCAGATCTGGCGGCAGGCCCAGTCGCCCGAGCACGCCCACCTCCTCGAGTCCCAGGCCTACTGGGACTGCGCCCAGACCGACGCAAAGGAAGGCGTCGACAGCTTCTTTGAAAAGCGCGACCCCAAGTTCAAGGGCACCCTCAACGACCTCGAGAGGTTCGCAGTCTACCCCTGGTGGACCCAGGCCGACGTCCAGGGCTGGGTCAGGCGCGCACCGCCACCTCCGTCGAAGCTGTAGATGCGGCGCGGTCCGATCCCAGTCGGTCGGCCGGCCTGCGATAGATGCGAGATTCGCAAGATGTAGAGGATGGGATGCAGAGACGCGGAACGGAACAGTGAGGGGACCGAGGAGAAATCTAAGGGAACTGGACCGGACCGAAACGGCAAGCCGGGTCGCATGCGCCACGCCGCTGGGCTCGATCGGTATGCCGCGACCCTCTCAGCTCCTGCCGAGGGTGGGGAGGACGCTGTCGTTGAAGCCCTGGTTGGCCTCCTGCGAGCCGGCCTTGAGGAAGTGGTCGTTGACGCCCTCGGAGCTCGAGCTGCGGCTCATCCTGGCGCGGAAGGCGTTGGGCGCATTCTGCCGCCGGGTCTGGACGCCCCGGCGCAGCTTGTCGAGCGCCTCGACGGTCGTCTGCCAGTCGATGCAGGCGTCGGTGATCGACTGGCCGTAGCGCAGCGCCGTGGGGCCCTCGGCGGGGATGCTCTGCTTGCCCGCCTGCAGGTTGCTCTCAATCATGACGCCAAAGATGTGGCAGCTCTCGTCTGTCCCGGCGCCGAGCTGCTCGACGACCGAGTCGACGACCTTCATCTGGTTCTCGTGCTTCTTTTCGCTGTTGCCGTGCGAGCAGTCAATCATGATGCGCTGGGGCAGCGATCCCTTTGCCAGCTTGGCCGAGACGTCGCGGACGTGGTCGGGCGAGTAGTTGGGCCCGGTGTTTGCGCCGCGGAGGATGACGTGGCAGGCGTCGTTGCCGTTGGTCTCGACAATGGCCGAGATGCCCTGCTTTGTGACCGAGAGGAAGACGTGCTCGGACGAGGCCGACTTGATGGCGTCGACGGCGATCGAGATGCTGCCGTCGGTGCCGTTCTTGAAGCCGATGGGCATCGAGAGGCCCGACGAGAGCTCGCGGTGCACCTGGGACTCGGTGGTGCGCGCGCCAATGGCGCCCCATGAGATGAGGTCGGCCGTGTACTGGGGCGAGATGGTGTCGAGGAACTCGGTGCCGGCGGGCAGGCCGAGGTTGGCCACCTCGAGCAGGAAGCCGCGCGCAAGGCGGAGGCCCTTGTTGATCTGGAACGAGCCGTTGAGGTTGGGGTCTGGTGGCGGGGAAGGGGGAGCAGAGCAAGGCAAGGCAAGGCAAGGCAAGGCGGAGTCGGGGCGGGTCAGCGGCGTGTCAAATAACGGAGTCTTTCATTGAGAGACAGACGAGAGCTCGGAGGGTCAGGTGCTGGGCGGACACTCACCATTGATGAGGCCCTTCCATCCGACGGTGGTCCTGGGCTTTTCAAAGTAGACTCTCATGACAATGTGAAGGTCCGCCTTTGCCGTCTTTGCGTATTCTGCGAGCTTCTTTGCGTACTCGAGGCCGGCCCTGACGTCGTGGATGGAGCAGGGGCCGACGACGACGAGGAGGCGGTCATCCTCCTGCCTGACGATTTCCTCTGTGGCCTTGCGACCGGACGCGACGGTCTGTGCGGCCTTGAGCGAGAGCGGGTAGTCTTCGACGAGGATCTGGGGCGGGAGGAGGGGCTTGATGCTCTTGATGCGCCGGTCGTCGAGCTCGTTGAGCGCCTCCTTGTACGACATGGGCTGGGCCATTTTTGCCGGTGGGAGAAGGGGGGGGGGGTGGAGTGCAGGTGGTGCGAGGTTGCAGAGCGTGGGGTTTTGGCCTTGGAAGCGAGAGCGAGGTGCGTTGGGTGGGCGCGGGTGCGGCTGTTGCGGTGGTGAAGGTGGTGGTGGTGGTGGTAGTAGTAGTAGTAGAGATGCAAGTCGAGAGGCCGTGGTGGGGGTTGGGTTGGGCGTGACAGGGGCGGAAAGATGGAGGGAGAGGCGAGTGCAAGCAGCAGAGGGTGCGTTTCTTCTGACGGCCACCTGCGTCTGCATGCCTGCTCGAACTGGCCAGGCCAGGCGTGGCAGCAGACCAGGGGCCAAGCCAGCCAGCCTGCCAAAAGTGGAGTGCCGTCAGAGCTAGCCAGCCATCCAAGCGCAGCCAGTTGGGCCCTGGCCTGTGAGCTGTCCAGGCCGCTTTCCGAGTCATCGCTGCCCGCTGCCAGCCAGCCAGACGGGGCCTGCCCGACCCAGCCTAGCCTGGTCGCCCATCGGGGCGTTCGTTGGCTTGCCACCTCCAGCCCGCCCTGGCTAATCCGAGCTGACACGGCGGCCTTTTCCGCCCCAAGCCGGCCGTCACCCCCATGAGCTGGCCATTGAAAGCTTGCTCGTGCGATCCTTGAATCGATCGATGGAGCTTGCCGCCTCGTGCACGGATAGCCAGAGCCTGATTCCGCCCGTCAAGCGGGGCGAAGGCATGCCGTCAAGCGGCGGGCGGAGCGGCGAAAGCCACCCCGATGGCGCTGGCGGCGCCACGGCAATGAGCCCGATTCGCCCCTGGTTGGGCTCATCGCCGTCAAGCCAGGCAGGCCTGCCAGAGAGGCTCGCCGTCTTTGGCGTCGCCGGGGGGAGCGGCCAAGGCCAACGCGCTTGGACGCCAGACCAGGCAGACCCGAGGCCAGGCAGTCGCGCCCTGTCCCGACCGCCCGCCCGCCTGTTTTCTCGATTTTCGACGTGCAAGCGGCGGGCGCGAGGGCAGCGGCGGGCCGCCAGGGGGCCAGGTACAAAAACCATTTCGGGCTGGCGGTCGGGGCGACCGTGGACCGGCCTCCCTCCCTCTCTTTCAAAAAAACCCATCCACCCTCGTTTGCTGGTGCCGCCCTGCATCCGGCTTGGCCTTTTTCTCGTGCGAAAGCGCAGCACCCTTCCACCTCGGACCAACGAGTCAAGCAGCCCAGCCGGGCCCCCAACGCCTCCACATCCTCTTTTCTGTCACTTCGGGCCCCGCTCGTCGTCCTCTCTGTCCCGCCCGCCGCCGCTGCCGCCGCCATCACCAGCCACCGGCACCACCACCGACTCACCCCGGCAGCATCTCGCCACGACGACCATCAGACATTCACCAGCGATGTCAGATAGCGAGCTAGGACCCGGTAGCGGCGGCGGCGGTGGCGGCGCAGGCGGGGTTGGCGACGACGAGCTGTCGCTGCCCAAGGCGACGGTGCAGAAGCTCATCTCGGACCTCCTCCCCTCGGACCTCTCGTGCGCAAAGGACACGCGCGACCTCCTCATCGAGTGCTGCGTCGAGTTCATCCACCTCGTCTCGTCCGAGGCAAACGACGTCTGCGAGCGCGACTCGAAAAAGACCATCGCACCCGAACACGTCGTCCAGGCCCTCAAGGACCTCGGATTCCAGGACTTCGTCGACGAGGTCCAGGGCGTCCTCGGCGAGCACAAGAGGTTGCAAAAGGTCAGTTGCCTTTCCCCTCCCCATCCCCATCCCCATCCCCATCCCCATCCCCATCCCCATCCCATTCCCGTCGATCTGGTCGAGGCGTCTGTCTGGCTTCCTTCGCTTCGAGGCTGACCCTTGTCCCTCGATCCATCACCCACCATTCCACCTCGCCCCAGGACCGAGAACGAAAGACGACCAGGATGGAACAGTCCGGTCTCACCGAAGAGGAGCTCCAGCGCCAGCAGGAACTCCTCTTCGCCGCCAGCAAGGCCAGGTTCGAGGCGTCAAACTAGGTCCCTCCCCCTCTTTCCCCCGGCCTCGTCTTCGGCCATCGACTCGTCAACTATCGTACCATGGCATCGCACCCTCCCTCCCTCCCTCTCGCTCTCTCTCTCTCTGACGACCCACAGCCACCCACCTGCTTGCACCCCCTCCCACCCTCTCACCCCGCGCCTCGAGCTGTTGCCATCAACCTGTACTTGTAGCATCCCCCATTTCCAGTCCCCCTTAATCGTCGTCCTCCTTTCACCGCCGTCGTCGTCGTGGCATGCTGCCTGCCAAGTTGCATCAATCAGCGTGCAGCCCTTGATCGGTCGGTCAGTCGCACCGCAAATCTACATCCTCTCGACCTCACCCCGCCTCGTCGGCATCGACAAAACAATCGCGCCGGCAAGTGGGGCAGGTACGGACCATCCTAAACAGCCGCGTCGCACACGCCTCGTGGAGGACATGGCGACAGCGGCACAGGACGGCCCAGTTGCCCACGCGGAACTGGTCGAGGCACACGCCGCACCGGTCGACGCGCACGCCCACGACCGACAGCTTCTGCTTGACCTTGCCCTCGCGCGTCACGCGCCGCCGCTCGCACTCGACCCGCGCCAGCGGCAGCGACGAAATCTCGTCCGAAGTCGGCACCGTCGACTTGGCCGGTCCCAGGAACTCGGATAGCGTCGTTAGCAGATCGTAATCCGCTCCCGCCCCTCCGCCAGCGCCAGGAGCAGCGGCAGCGGCGCCGCCAGAGGACGCGTCGCCACCCGTCGGCGACTGCAGAGCCTCGAGACGCGAGACGAGCAGGTCGAGATCCGTGTAGCCCAGCGAGGGCGCGCGCTGAAGCGAAGTCGAGCCCCCGCCTCCGCCGGCGTTGGCGACAGTACCGTGATCCGAGGCAGCCTGCGGACCCTCATCGCGCCCTGTCGATCCGGACGGCATCGATGATGGCAGAGGCGGCGACGCATCACCGCGCTCCCGTCGCGGCGGCTGGCGGGCGAGGGAACGCACCGTGTCGGACCGCCCGACGGCCGAAGCGGCCGCATTGATCAGGTTCGCCGCAGACGGCTCGGCCGCGATCGACGACGACGAGCCCAGCCGCGCCTCTTCGTCGAGATTGACCTCGCGGTCCTCGGACAGGCTCGCACCGCTGCTGTCCTGCCGCTGCGGCGTCGGCGGCTTGAAGGGCAAGCGAGACGACCCCGCCGTGCGGAAGGGTGACTCCGACGACTGGCTCGGCGCTTCGACTGCAGGCAGCCTCGATGACGAGGCGGGCGGCGGCGAGGAAGATCGCTGCGCGACATCGCGATCGTCGACGACGTCGTCCCAGATCCTGTTCCGCGGCGGTCTTTCCGGCAGCAGAGGCGGCGGACGGGGTGGAGCCGTCGGCGAATAGCCTGCTCCCGACGCACGAAGGAACGGGTTGGTGGACGTCGATGCCACCGAGCCTGGTCCTCGAGGCTGCGCAGAAGGTGCGATGGCGGTGGGTGCGGGACTCCACTGCGCCACGCTGCTCGGCAAAGTGGGCAACGGCCTCGCTTGACCCGATCGAGCGGACGCCGTGCCGGTCGGCGCGCCTGCCGTTGTTCCTTGCCAGCCTTGAGGAGGTCGAGGCGGCGGGGGCGATGGGAGAGCGTCGGACAGACTGATCAGGTCCTCGCTGTGGACGGGACCGAAGAGCCCTGCCAGCGGGCGGCCAGATTGAGTCCCGGGCACGGGCAGCGGTCTCTGCTGCGGTGTGGCTCGATGCTGTGAGGCGAGATCGGACTGCGACCCGGCATGCATGGCCGTGGTCGGTCCATTCGCTCCATTCGAGGCAAGGACCGGCGAAGACTGGGGACGCGTCTCGCGCCGCGATCTCGAAGCGGCCTGGGCCGCAGCGAGCGTCTCGTTGAGTCCCCTCCGCGAAGGGTGGAACAGCTGCTCGGGCGGCAGCAGCGGCGACTTGGGCGGAAGGCTCGGCGGCGCTTGCTGGGAGGTCGTGCCCGACTCGCGCCGGGTCAGCAGGTCCAGAGCCTGCGTGCGGGGCGAACGGGGCAGTCCTGCCCCGCCGGTCGGTGGTGCCAGGGTCGAGCTCGGTCCCGGGCCGCTCGCATCTTGGATGTGCGGTCGCGGAGGCGCCAGACTGGTCGAAGACAGAGGTCGTCGAGATGCCGCCTGTGCCGCAGATGAGGCCGTCGCCATAGGCGGTGGTGGAGGCGGTGGTCGTCTGCCTAGGGTCTCGTATGACTCTACAGGATCCGCTTGTTGTCGCGGGGGCAGCATGGACGTCGACGTGCTGACCGGGCGCTCTCGGATGCTCTGTGGGGCTGTCGGCACTGGCTCGCTGGTGAGGGGCGAAGCAGGTGCGGCCGATGCCTGCGGAGATCCAGGCACCTCGAACTTGGAGATCATTGCCGATACACGACTGCCTGCCGTCCTGAGCGGGGCAGGCGCGGGTACGTCGGCTTTCCGGTAAATGGAGCCACTCGACGAGAGCATCGAGCCTACGCCTTCATCCCTCCGCTGCTCCTGCTGCTGCTGCTGCTGCTCCGACGTTTGGCCAGTGTGAGCAGCACCAGGTCCCTCCGGGATCCTGTCGGGAATCAGTGGAGGAGGCAGCTGGCTCCTCTCTGCGCTCGGGATGTGCGCCAGCCAGCTGGGCGTGCGGACGACGCCGGTATTCTGCCTCGACGGCGGAAAATGGCGCGTGGCATCGGTGATCGTCGGCAGCCGGCCTCGCGGGAGCGGTGCGACGCTCGAGCGCGGATTTATGAACGAAGCGGGGCGGGCGCTGGGCCGCATGTTGTACGAGACCGGAGGCGGAGGCGGTGGGCCGTCGCGGGTCCGGTGGACTGCACCCTGCCGAGACAGGCGGTTTGCGCCTGGCCACCGAGGCTGCGGCAAGTCCGTGCCAGATGCCGAAGCTGGCGTCGACGCAGCAGCGGTGGCGGATCCTTCTCCACCCGTCGAAGATCCTGATGCCAGCTCGACGCCGGTACCCAGCGTCCGTGGCTGCGGGCCGTACATCGAAGGCGGCGAGGTGCTGCGCGGCAACGGCTGCATCGAGACAGGCCTCGTAGTGCGGGCGAGCAGCCGCTCGAGCGCGGCCAGCGAGTCCTGTCGTGCCGCCGTCGTCGACTGTAGTTCGGCGATCTGGGCCAGGACTTCCTCGGTCGCACGTTGCTCGTCGGGCTCGTCGGGTCGCTCCTCACGCTTGTACGAGGGCTGTCGAGAAGCAACGCTGCGGAGCGATGATGTGGACGGCTGCTTCTGCAGCGACTGCCGGCGTCCGACGGCCGAGGAAACAGACGTAGCCTCGTGCCACTCCTGCCCCGTCCCGTCGCCTGCATCCAGCCTGACAGACCTGTCCGACTTGACGCTCTTGGCGGACGGGCGTCTCTGTACGCGGGGCGCCTCGTCCAGCGGGGACGTGTCGACCGCCCGCACAGGCTCCTTTCCCTTTGCCTGTGCCGAGCTGCCGATTGATGATGTCCGCGCTTTGGCGGGTGCGGGCTCGACAAGAGGCGTACCAAACAGGCCGCGCAGCCGGTTGCTGATCGGCGCCTTGCCGCTCGGGCTGGAACCCGCCGCCCGATAGTCAGACTGCGGGGCCGGGGGCGGAGGCGGAGGCAGGTTCTTGCTCAAAGAGTCGCTGCTCTCTCTGGGCAGAGGAGAGGGTCTCGAAACACCTGCCGCGCTGTCACCGGGCACTGGGGGACTCTTGAGCGATGCGGAACCGGCAGGTGCAGCGGACGGCCGCCTCGTTTCCTCGTCGGATGATACGTCGCGGCTGCTGGAGCTGTCGTGCTGAAACAGGCCTGCCCGCGTTTCGGGCTCGGGCGGGCGGAGCGGCTCCTCTGCCATGCGCAGAGTGATGGGGACGTACACGGTACCTTGCCTCGTCAGAACCGCTCCCTTTGCACCATCGTCAATGTTCCGAGATGGTCCGGTGGCGTCCGCTGTGCTGGTGAAGGCGGACCGCGCGGAAGCCGATGAGCTCGCTCGTTGCAGACTCGGTGCATCGGGCTTGGGGGGAACCGGCGTGGATGATGGCCGAGACTGCCGGGTCTCCACTCCAGGAGGGGCGGCGGTCTGCTGTCCAGCACGAAGCGTTGCGATAGGAGCCTGCGTCGGCCTTGTCGGTGCGACGCCCTCCTCCGTGGCAGCCGCAGATGCCGTCGTCGTGGACATGGCCGCAGGCTTGTCCAAAGGTTTCGCCGCGGACCAGGCCTCTGCCGGTGCGTCTTCCGGCTCGCTACCGGAGCTGGACGGCAGTCGCCCCTCGTCCGTATCCGACGACTCGGAAGACGACGAGTATGCAGCGCCGCCCCTCGAGCGACCGAGCACCAGCGGAGGCGGGGCCTTGGCCACCGACTTGCCCATCCAAGCCAGCCTGTTCAGGCCGGGCGATGGAGGCAGCGATGGCCGGGCTGGCTCAAAGTGACCAGGCACATGTCGCTCGGCGAGAGCTTCGCCGTCTTCGCTGTTGCTGCTGCTGCTGTCGTCGCCGTCGCCGTCTGTAGGTACGGCGCGGAGCTTGCGCAGCCTTTCGGCTGCAGCCTCCTCCTTCCTGCGCAGCGCGTCGAATGCAGCCGCCTCGGCCAACCACTGGTCCACCGACGAGTCGCTCTCTGCGTCCGAGGGCTGCAGCTCGTCGCTCGAACTTACAATCGCCGCAGTGTTCCGGGATGCGCCCGAGAGCGGCGAGAGCGGGCTGGCGCTCGATCCGACGAGCTGGTCGCTCGACGCGGCAAAGCGAGGCGGGGGCGCCGAGACGGGGAGCAGCATGTCCTCGGGCCGCATCGCCGTTCGAGACCGTAGATTGCTCCGCCGCTCGGCGGCTGCCGTAGCGTCGTCGCGGAACCTCGAGTGAGACTCTGAGGCTGGCCTCGTCCTGGTCCTGGTCGCGAGGCGTTTCGGGATCGCCGAACTGCTCGCGCCGTTTCGTCGCGGGTTGAGGGTTTCCGAAGTGGTCCTTCGGTGGCCCTGGTGTGAGGGCCCTGCCGAGGCTCCCAGGCGGGGCTCGTTGTAAAGCGCCTTTGTCTGACGAGCGGCTGGCGCCTGGACCGGAGCTGTGGCCGTCTCGACAGGAGTTGATCGTGTTCGCGGTGCGGCGGAGGGTGCTGCCTCGGTCGATACTGGCGTACCAGTCGTGGCAGCAGTGGAATGGGGCGTAGCGGCCGCTTCTGGCTCGTCATGCGCCGGCAGAGGAGCGGCCGCCGCTGCTTCGGTCGGCGCCGCTTCAACAGCAGGCGCCGTCGGAGCCTCGGGGGCGTGAGTGGCCGTCGTCTCGTGGAAGTCCTCGTCGTCGCTTCCAGCATCTCCGGAAAGATGGGGTCGATCGGTCGTTTCAGCCTCCGCCGGCGCGGCTGCGCCCGTCGAGATGGCCTCCTCGGCGGCCGGAACAGTGTCGGTCTCTTGCTCTGGTTCATCCCGCTCCTCGTCGCTACTCTCCTGCCGCGTCCACTCGGGCGGCACGCCGCCTCTGGCGATCAGCAGCGCCCTCTCCCTTGCCTCTCTCCGCTCCTGCTCGCGCATCAGGCGCTCCTCGAAGCTGAGGCCCGCCTGAATGTCTGCCTCCCATGCGTGCCGCTCCTGCGCCAGCTCTTCTGCTTCCGCCTCGCTGGTCGACGATTCAGAAAGAGAAGAAGAGTCGTCGCCGCCGCCGTGCTGTATTGCGGCAGCGGTCGAGGCGCGTGCTGCCTGGCCGGCCTGGGTCGATGCTGCATCCGGCCCCGCCGCTCCGTTCGTCGCTGGTGTCCGGGACCTCCTGCCCCTGGTGCTCCTCGCCACTGCTGCGTTGTCCTCTCGTCCGCTGCCGTCGCTCTCCGGATCGGTCCGGAAGGCGGGTGGCGGACTGTCGGGTACTCTCCACCGCTCGGCCTCCTCGTAGGCCAGGCGCTCTTCCTCTGTCCACTCTCTGCCCGCCGGCGGAGGTTGTGGCGGCGTGCGAGGCCGTGTCGCGCCCTCGGGAAAGGGAGGTGGGAGGTCGTCTGGATCCGGCTCCTCGGCGCCGGGCAGGCCGGCGAGGTCGTTCCAGATGTTGTAGCGCCGCAGCGATGCCTGTTGCGCCAAGGCCGACGAGATGGTATCCTGCTCGCCGGACCTGGCCGAGGCGGAGTCGTCCGCATGAGCTTGGAGATGTGCCTGCTGCGACGGCGAAGACCGCTCAGCAGCAACGGGGCCGTCGGCGGACAAGGGCCCACTTGCACCAGACGCAGGCGCGCTGTCGCTGCGAGAGCGCAGTATCCCGTCGCTGCTCGCTTGACGCGATCGAGAGGGCGATGCCGCCGTGGACGACGAGGCAGGCGCAGTGGTACCGGCGTTCTGCGAGAGCGAGCTGGCCGGTCTGCTTGGCTGTTCTGCCGTCCGCCTGCTCGACCTCGAGGCCGGGCGGTGCGAGGCAGGATCGGTCTGGCTCGCCGGTACCGTCAGCCTCGAATTTGACGCAGGTCTCCGCCTCGGCTGGACGGTGGCCGCGTTGACTGCTGTGTGACCGACGGGCGTCCTCCTGCCGGTCGACGACGATGATGCGGCGGCGGCCGGGGTTGCGTGGCCGCTGGAGCTGTAGCCCGAGCTGACGCCCCTGTGCATCGCTGGCCTGGCGAGGTTGCTAGGCCCTGGCGCTGAGCCGTCGTAGCCCGCCTCTGCTGCGTGGCTGGGCACGCCTGCGAGGGCTGCGGCGGCGACGTGGGCGGCGTGGGCCTTTTTCTGCTTGACCTTGAGCTTCTTCTCCTTTGCCTGCTTTCTGCGCATGTTGTCGGGGGCGGTGAGCGTCATCCTGCCGAAATGCGACTCGATGTTGGTGAGGTAGGGCGCCTCTGTGGCCGGGACGGGGTGGTAGGCGGAGGAGGAGGTGGTGGAAGTGGATGGGAGCGCAGAGGACGAGAGGTTGCCGGCGTGGGGCAGGGCGAGGCCGTCTGTGGTGCGGCTGACGAGGTTGCCCGAGGACGAGGCGTGACCGAGGTTGTACATGGCACGCTGTGTCCCGGTGGCGCCTTGGCCGGGCGGCCGGAGGTGGTTGTGATCTCGCCTGGCGGGCATGGCGGGCGATCAGAGCAGCGCGATGCAGGCCTGCAACGGGGGGCTGTTCTTTGGGGGGGGGAGGAGAGGGGGGGGAGGTGAGTTGGGCCGGAAGGCGTTCGAATCAAAGTTGCATGCTGGTCGAGGCTGTGGAGATGAAGCCGCTGGCGTCGCGTGATTGTAGCTGGATCGAGATGGCTGGGTGTGCAGACGGCGGTCGGTGCGGGAGTTGGTCGTGCGGACTGGTGGCGATGGCTACGACTCGTTGCCACTGGTGGTGCGAGCAGCGAGGGTTGGACGATGGCTGGACGGGGCGCGGCGATGGTATGGGTGCTGATGGCGGTTGGTGGTGGTGGTAGTTGCGCCGATGATGTTGACGACGGCGACGAGGCCGGGGGCCCTCTAAGGGGTCAGGCGAGCTCGGGCGAGGCGAGGCGAGGCGAGGCGAGGAGCGGCGAGGAGAGAAGCAAGCAAGCTTGCAGCGCAGCAGCAGCAGCCACCCAACAAGACAAGAGAGTGACACCGGCGGCGTGCACCGGCTGCCCTCTAGCGCGCGCTGTCTGCTAGGCCGGCCGTCATGCAGGCAGGCAGGTCGAGCGTGCAGCCTGTGACCTCACCGCAGCCCGAATGGCCGGCCCTTCTTGGCGTCGGCGGCCCTTCACCCCTGCCACCGCCACGGCTCAGTCCAGCATACGCATCCTCGTCCCGCTGCTGCCAGCGCCACAACTACTACCCTTCAATCGCCACCGCAGCCACCACGGCCCTCACGCAGCACCACGCAAGGACGCGCACTCGACCAGCATCGCAGCGCAAACGACTTCGATGCAATCAAACCAGGACGCGGACCAATCAACGAGCTTCTACTAATACAAGGGACGCCAGAGGCCAAGGCAAAGAAAGAGAGGCGATGAGGCGGGGCCAGGGTCACGGCCATCACGTCGCCTTGATGACACCGGCAGTGGCAGAAGACGCCGACGCCGACGCCGCCTTGGCCTTGGCCTTGTCCTCGGGCTCAATCACCTTGGCGCTCTGCCCCGCCGCCGCCGCTGCTGCCGCCGCCGCCTTGGCCGCCTTTTCCTTTGCCGTCTCGAGCGACTCGACGTACGTCGACGGGAACCACCCGATCCGTCCGTCGCGCGTACGGCCCCGCCACCACTGGCTCTCGGCCCCCGTCTGCGGGTCGTGCTTGCTCAGCACCGCGACAATGTCGTTGGGCTGCAGGCTCAGCTCCAGCGGGTCCGCCGCCGGGTACGCGTACAGGGCGCGCACAAACGTCAGCTTGCTCGGGTCCACGGCGTCGCCCTCGGCCGTCTGCCCGTTGGGCCCAATCATGCCGCCGCCGTGCTGGCCGGGCAGCATGCCCGCCTGGCCGGGCGCCTGCCCCGCCTGCTCCAGCCGCTGCCGCTCGGCCTCCTGCTTGGCCGTGATGAAGCGGACCAGCTTGCCCATGAGGTACGGCAGCCCGATGACGGCGAGGAAAAAGACGACGAGCGGGCGCTTGCTGGGCCGCGGCGCCTTGGCACCGCCGCCGGCAGCGCCCCCGTTGGCCGCAAAGTCGCGGAACTCGCGAGGGTCGAGCTCGACGGGCGGCGCCTTGCCCGCCAGCCGCAGCGCCGTGTTCTTGACGAAGCGGGCCAGCGCAAAGATGCTGAGCACCTGGCCGAGGTAATTGCGCAGGTGGGCAAACTGGTCGGCCACCCCGACCATGGCAAAGAAGCTGCTGTGCGTCGCCATAAAGGTGCTCTCGAGCATCTGGGCGAAGCCGCCAAAGGCGCCGACGATGCTGCTGATCAGCTCAAAGGTGGCGGCGGTGCCAGACTCCATGCGCTGGGTGAGGGATGGGTCGCCAGGCTGGCCGGCCATGCCGGGCATGCCCATGCCGCCCATGCCCATCCCCATGCCCATGCCGTAGCCTCCGCCGTAGCCCCCGTAGCCGCCGTAGCTGCCGTAGCCACCGTAGCTACCGGCCCCGTAGCCGCCGTAGCCCATACCGCCCATGCCACCCATCCCGCCGTAGCGGGAGTAGGGAGAGCCGTACGATGTGCCGTACGTGGAGCCCATGCCGCCGTAGGTGGATCCGAGACCGCCGATTGTGGAGCGGTAGGGGGATGAGGCGTAGCCCGTGCTTCCGAGTGCGCCTGCAGCGGGGACAAACGGCGGTAGGAGGGGGGATAAGGAGGAGGATGAGGAAGAAGAGGGTGGAGTGGTGGCCTTAACGTTAGAAGCCGTGCGGCGCCGAAGTGGTCCGAGTCCGGGGCAGTAGGCAGCACTCACCCGAGGTGGCGGCAGTCGACGAGAGCGTCGAGGGTCTGTCTGGAAGGGCGGGTGCGGCTGCAGAAGATGCCAGCGACGACGATGCGGCCGGCGAGGCAGACGAGAGGGACGAGGAGCCAAAGTCGGCGGAGGATGCGGTGGTGGTGGTGGTGGATGCGCCTGCTCCGGCACGTTCCCAGGGCTTGGGTGGCGATGGCATCACGCTCGCGGGCGAGGTTGGCGCTATGTGCTTTGCGGTCGAGGCGGTGGCGTTGCTAGGTAGGTGGGTTCCAGGGTATCGTGGTCGCCTACGCTGTCTGTTCGAGCGAGCAGGCGGTTGCCGTCGTCGATGCGGTGTGGTGCGGTGTGGTGTGGTGTGCGAGGAGGTAGGAATCCGAGTTGGTGGAAGGTCGGGAGGAGAGGGGCGAAGGGGGCGAGGGAGCGATGATGCGTGCGGGGTAGACTGGCACCAGCTGCTTGCCAGCCGGTCCCTCGCTGCCCGTTTGCCCTCTGACTCAAGCCGAGGGCGGGAGCGGCTCAGGTTCAGCCTCGTCTGAAAAACGGCATGCGGCTGGCCTGTTTGGGCCGGTGCAGTCGGCTCAGCTCTGGGCCGAGGCCTGCCTGCTTGCTCCAGCCCTGCGACCCTCTTCTCGCGCGAGAAACAACCGACAGCCGCTTGACGGGCGGCAGAAGAAAACTCGAGAGCGCGGGCCGGCTGGCTGCTTGCTCACCACCATCTCGCCAGCCACCAGCGTCTTCGCCAGCACCAGCCACCAATCACCAATACTGTATCCTCTCTTGGACCGGCCACCTGCTCGAACTCACGCCGCACTTGCATACGCCTCCGCTCTCCGCACCGCCGCGCAACACGCACGCCATGTCGACCCGCAGCGCAGCGACCAAGATCCTGCGCGGATCCCTCTCCACAACGCCGGCACCGGGCGCGGCAGGGTCACCGGGCTCGTTCCACCTACCTCTGCGCAAGCTCGTCATCGAGTACTGCGAGTCCAACCCTTCGTCGGCGGGGACGCGCCAGTTTCTCCGCTCGACGGTGCCGGCGTGGGCGCGCTCCCACCCGTCCGTCGAGGTCGTGGTGCGCCAGCGCCCCTCGCTCCACCCCGTCCTCCGCGGCTTCTACGCAAACGGAAGGTCAAAGGAGATCTGCGTAAAGAACCTCGAGGGAAACGGCGTAGAGGCCACCCTCAAGAAGCTCAGGGACGACTCGGGCGCAAAGACAAAGAGCCTCAAGAGGATCCCCGTCGAGAGCAAGGCGGAGAGCGCCAGGGGCATCTGGAGCGCGCTCCATGGCGCAAGGTAGCCATCGTCGTCGTCGTCGTCGTACGGCACACTGCACGTATCCCCCCCTTCTCCGGTCCGAGCACTTTGCAGCTGCAACCGCTTGGCCCTTTGCCCGGCCCTCGCCTTGGGTCCAGGTCGATCCACCGTCATGGCTGCATCGACCTCCCCAGACGCTCTCGCTACTGCCGCTGCCGCTGCAACCTCAATCTCAATCGCAACAGCTGTGCGCCAGCCCTCGTCTTTTCCTTCTTTCCAAGCCCTGATCCACAGCAACGCCCCCCCTGTACACTAGAACGAGCACCGCCTCGTGGCCTGCGCCTGCCCGGCATCTCACCAGAATCCCAGCACAGCATCGCACAGCACGATCCAGCCCAACAGACAGGCTGTGGATCAAAGAGCGCGACGGAGAGGATCTGGTTGAACAGGGTATGATTTTGGTGAGCACGACGAGCAACAAATGATGTCTGAATGGGGATGACGACGAGAGCTAGCCTGTTAGGACGACGGAGAGACGGGGATGACGCCAAATCCGACAGAGGGGGAGGAGAAAGAAGAGGGGTGCTGGCTGCGTTGGTCTCGTTGAGAGATCAATCTATGACGAATGCAGGGATCAGGCCAAGTCTCTATCGGTTGACGGTCTGGGAGTAGTCGTACTTGCTGAAAAAGCGCTCCGAATCGGTATCGGCGTCCTTTTGGGCGCCGCGCCTCCTGCCGCGCGCCGTCTCGGCTTCGCCGCGCAGCGTCTTGTCCTTGCGCAGCCACGCCAGCGAGATGCTCAGCAGCGGCGACAGGTCGCGGTGCTGGTCGGTCTCGTCGGTCGGCGGCAGAGCGTCGGCGTCGGCGCCCGTCGGGGGCCACACGATGGGCTCTTTGTCCACCGTCGTGCCCATGCGCATGTGGCAGATGTGCGTCGGGAAGCTCTGCAGGCCGTCAAAGATGTGCGTGGCGTCTGGTCGGACACAGAAAGCCAGGGCAAGACATGAGAGAAGTGGGACGCGGGGTCAGCACCGTCATCCTTGATCTCGCCATCGGCAGCTCACGGTCGCCTGGCACTCACAGATGATGGTGGCGTTGCGCTCGATGGTCTCCTGGGTCAAAAAGTCGAGCAGGTCGGCGCGCACCTGGACGTCGAGGTCAACGGTGACCTCGTCGAGCAGTAGGAGGTCCCAAGGCTCCATGAGCCCCATGCAGAGCTGGACGCGCCTGCGCTCGCCGTCGCTGATGGCGTGCATGTGCCAGTCGAGGTCGACGTCGAGGATGTCGAGGAGGCGGTCGCGCCTCTCCTTGTGGCGGTAGCCGCCGACCGAGTTGAGAAAGTGCGAGACGACAATGTCGGAGCGGACGACGGGGTTCATGGCCCACTCGGTGCCGAGGTAGGTGATGCCCGACGGCGACTCGCGGAAGACGTCCTTGCCAAACACGCGCGCCTTGGAGTCGCAGAGGCGCTTGCCCGCCAGAAGGCGCAGCAGCGTCGACTTGCCGGCGCCGTTGGCCCCGATGAGGAGGCAGCGGCTGCCCCTGCGCAGCTTGAGGTCGCAGTGCTCGAGGGCGGGCGGCAGGTCGGAGCGGAAGGTAAAGGTGAGGTCGGGCACGTCGACGGCGAGCACCTCGTCGACGTCCATGGGGGCGTCGTCGGGGCGGGGCAGCGAGCGCTTGGCAGGCGCCGGCGGGCTCGAGTCGGGCGCCGTCTTGGAGGAGCGGTCCCAGTTCCAGTAGCCGCCGGGGCGCTGGGGCGAGGGCGGACTGCATGCTGAGGACCTCGTCGACGACGCGCTGGCCGCAGCTGTCGACGTCGGCGGCCTCGACGTCGACGAAGCGGATGAGCTGCCTGCCGGCGTCGGAGATGAAGCCCTCCTGGTGCGCGAGGTCGACCTGCTGGCGCATGGGCGACCAGAAGCCGTTGATGTTGACGAGGACCATGGGCTTGTTGTGGATGCCGAGCTGGGTCCAGGTGACCATCTCCATGACCTCTTCAAAGGTGCCGTAGCCGCCAGGGAGGGCGACGAAGCCGAGGTTGCTCTCGGTGGCCATGCGGGCCTTGCGCTCGTGCATGCCGTTGACGACGACGGTCTGCATCTTTCCGGGGCCGGCCGAGGTGTCGAGCACGACGGGGCCCTGGCCCTCTGCCGAGACGGGCTGGCGCTCGTACGAGGCCGGGTGTCCCTGTGGCTTCTCGTTGACCATGACGGCGGGGATGACGCCGAGGACGTTGCCCCCAGCCTCGATGACGGCCTGCGATACGCCGCTCATGCTGCGGGGAGGTATGGAGGGCAAGGGAGTGATGGTCAGCTCGTGGTGCGGGGGCAAGGTAATCCCGGCCACCGGTGCCCTTGGACTGCGCTCACCAGCCCCTAGAACCACCACCATACACGAGTCTCCAGTTGTTTGCGGCGATTGCCTTTCCGACGACTGCGGCTGCGGCCATGTACTCTGGCTTTCCGCCAGGCGAGGAGCCGCAGAAGACGCAGAGCGAGTCGGTAGACGCGGGCATGGTTGCAGGGAGGGGCGCAGGTGCGCGAGGGTGGTTGTGGGGGGAGGTGGCGGCGACGGCGACGGCGACGGCGACGGCGGAACGGGGCGAAACGAGCGTCGAGGCTGATGCGGGGTGAAGGGGAAAGATGGCGGGGATGGTGATGGTGCTGGTGTTGGTGGTAGTGAAGGGAAGAGCGAGGGAGGGGAGGGGCCGAAGAGAGGGGACCCTCAGCATTGGCCTATGTCGACCGTCATCGGAGCAGGCCGATGTCCTGCTGCGCCACTGACAAAGCCACAGAAGAGGCAGACGGGCAGACGGGCAGCCAGGCCGACGCTGCTCCACTTTTTTCCCTCCTGGACGTGCGTCTTCCGAAGGTGCAGCGCCGCGCCCTCTGCCAACGACAACGTGGTCCAAAGCGGGGCGCCCGCAGACCCCGATTTCCCGCGAATAAGCAGCCGCCTTTTTCCTGTCCCTCGCTCTCTCTTGCTCCCAGTCGCTTCTTCGCGACGGCTGCCCGCGCTCAGCAGAGGGCTGCCTGCCACCAGGCCATGCCTCTCTCGCCATCGTATCCAGCACCACCATCGCTGCGCAGTCCAAGGCAGCAGCACAATGTGATCCCGAGGCCGACGGGCCTCAAACACGGGCGGACGTGCTGCTCACACACAACTCACAGCCTGACCTCAACCAACAGCGTAGCGCGCCTTTTCGATCCAACACTCACGTCGACCCTTCCCTCCCCTTTGTCCCCACGCAGCCCGCGCCAACCAACGCCGTAGGCACGCGTCTCCGCCGCTCCGCGATTAAATCCCGCCGACAAAGGGAACGCAATCACCATTGACACTCGCACATCCTCGCCCCGTCCTCTCTGCCTCTGGGCCATCCCATCCCTCCCCTTTGTCGCGACGCAACGCAACCCTCGAGCAGATGCACAGACAGCAGCCACCAAGCAGACCGTGGCGTCCCGTCATGGGCCCGCCGGCCTACCTCGAGCTCCCTCTTAGGACACCCTCGAGTCGTAACCGTGGCCTCCCTTCTTTCGCCACTCGTGACTACCACCATCACCTCGCTCCCTGACCCATCTCCGATACCGCCGCCCTCTCACCAGACCACATCCAAGAAGCAGCCCCTCGTTCGTTAGCCCCTGTCGCGACTCTGCGTCAACGCAGCGCCCGCACCCCTCGCAATGGCGTTCCCAGACACCTCGCAGGACTCCGACACGCTCATCATGCACCCCTCGAGCGACCGCAGCCGCAGCGACGAACACGGCGGCTGGGCAGGCATCCCCCCGCCCACTCCAAGACCGCCCCTCGAGCTGCCAGCCACCGACGGCAACCTCAAGCCCTGGCTCGGCCTGCGCGCCAGGCTCGCCCTCTCGCCCATCTCGGTCGCCCTCGTGTCGCTCCTCTTTGTCGCAACGCGCCTCGTTATCAGCGCAGGCGACGTCGACGACAAGGTAGACGGCCTCAAGCGCAACATCCTCGCCACCTGCAGAGGCGCAGAGGGTGCCGCCAGCACCTTGGCCAGCCTGCCCACCGTCATGGCCCACAACGCCAACCAGGCCACCATCAAGGCCATCGAGAGCACCGTACGCGGCACCGGAAGGGTGCTCATGCTCGCGTGAGTTGGCCATGTCCGGCGAGCCGGAATCTGCTCTGTCGGCTGACAGGGGGAGCACCACTTCTGATCTGATCGCCTGACGTGAATCCCTCCACCGTTTCTTTGCTTTTCCCCTCCGACCCTGGCAGCATCACGGCCGTCGAGGAAGTGCTCAAGTGGCTCGTCGACTCGTACCGCTCCCTCTTTGTCTGCTTCATCGAGCTCCTCGTCCGCGGCTCACTCGCCGTCCTCCTCAGCGCCGTCCAGCTCATCTCGGACGCCGTCCACGAGGCCGCCCAGGGCATCCGAGCAGCCATCCAGGCCAGCGTCGAGGGCGTCAACGCGCTCCTTTCGGGCACCATCTCGGGGATCAACGCCATCATCGGCGTCTTTGGGCAACACGTCAACCCACCGTCGATCGACGTGCCTTCGCTCGACGCGCTCAGCAACATCAGCCTGCCCACCGAGATCCAGGACAGCCTGCTCAGGATCAACTCGAGCCTCCCCTCGCTCGACGAGCTCCGCCAGAAGATGGACGCGTTCATCTCGGGTCCCTTTGAGCAGATGAAGGCCGACGTCAACCAGACCATCACCGACTTCCGCTTCGACCACGCCGCCCTGCCCGAGCCGCCGCTCAACAACGTCACCTTTTGCCACGACGTTGACACGTCCGCCCTCGATGACCTCGCCCACGACATCAAGAAGCTCGTCTACATTGGCATCGGCCTCGTCGCGCTGCTCATGGTCGGACTCGCCCTCCTCTGCGCCGGAAGCGAGTGGTGGAGCTGGAGGAGCATGCGCAAGCACGTCGAGTACACAAAAGAGGCCTGGGAGGACTCGGACCGTGCAGGCGACTCCTTTGCCGCACCGTGGCGCACCGACGAAAAGGTGGCACCGAGCCAGGCCCTTCGACCGGCCACGGCCACGGCCTCCTCGTCGGCGACGACGTCAACGACGCTGAGCACCGAGCGCATCTTTAACCTGCTCGAGCTGTCCAAGCATCCGCTCCTGGCACTCGTCGCGTTCAAGGTGGCTCGCTTCTTTGGCCTCAAGGACCCAGCGTCCCGAGCGCGGCTCCGATGGTGGCTGTCCTGGATCAGCCACCCGGCGGCAGTGGCTGCCCTCGTGGCCGGCCTTGTCGGTCTGCTCTCGGTGGAGCTGCAGATCATCGCCGCCCGGTCGGTCCAGGGCGTCTACGAGGGCAAGCTGGGCAACGCCTTCGACGGCATCGGGGACGACATTGCCCGCAGCGTCAACGCCAAGATGCTCACCGCGTCGACCGACTTCGCCAACAAGAGCAACACGGCCATCGGCGGCGCCGAGGACGCGCTCAACGACCACCTCTTCCGCTGGGTCAATACGACGACGACGACGATGAACGACACGCTCAACGAGTTCATGGACGACATCACGGGCGCGCTCAACGACGTCCTGGGCTCGACGCCGCTCAACGCGCCGCTGCAGACCTTTATCCAGTGCATCCTCGGGCGCAAGGTGGCCGGCATCCAGACGGCACTGACCTGGATGCACGACAACGCGCACGTCAACTTCACCCGCGTCGACGACGACGTTCTGCTCATCGGCGGCGACGCGCTGCGCCGGCTCTCGGACCCGATCAAGGCCTCGATGATGGGTCAGGACGGCGGCGGCGATGACGACGGCGTGGTCGGCAGGCTGGTCGGCGCCTACGTCCGGCATCTCGAAAAGGAGCGCGTCATGTTCTACATCTTCCTCGCCATCTACGCCCTGGTGCTGGTGGCGGGCACCGCCATCGTCTTTTGGGACCAGATCCGCGACAGGGCCTCGGCGTGGCAGCGGTCGCGCAAGCCCTGGCTCAAGGCGCCCGTGACGCCCTTCCGAGCGCTGTCGCTCCGGAGGACGCGGACCGCCGACTCGGAGGCGGACCGTGCTCCCATGGCCAGCGGAGCACCCCGCTGCGGACCCAGTGGTCCCCGCCTCAACTTCTCCGCCATCTCTTATCCGGTCCTGGAACGGTCGACCCGGGATGGCGGGACGATGGACGCGCCCCTGACCGCGCAGCATCCTCATGACCTGCCAAATCTTCCGAACGAGACGGCCAGCCTCAACGAAAAGAGTGGCAAGCTCGATGTGCCCACCGCCGAACGTCAGCGGTCTAGCGCCGCTTCCACAGAAGATCCGGGCTGGTCCTGGCTCTCGTACCTCCGGCGAGCTGCTCGCCTTAGCATGACTGACGCGGGCAGCTGTGGGCCGCCCTCGGACGATATCGCAACGAGCGGAGAGGCTTCGCCGACGATGACGATGCGGTCTGCCTACTCGCAGGCGACGGGCGTGACGGGTCATGGGTCCCGTGCCTCGATCAGCACGGCGCACCGCAGGAGGACAAGCCGGCTGCTCGACGAGGCCGAGGGAGGTAGCCCCGTGTCGAGTCATGCTACGGGCATCGACTCGGCTCCTTCGCCGTTGAGGCAGCGTTTCAGCCCGAGCCCGTCGCAGCACACGTTCGGACACCGCACCTCGTCGGTGGCGCCGTCGGCCTCGACCCACGCGACACACGCCCACCGCCAATCGAGGATCAGCGAGGCGAGCCAGGACATCGATGCTGCCGATACTATCGTCGTCTCACGGCAGTCAGACTTGGAGGCTGGCTCGCGTGCACCTCTCGACTGCCAAGCGGCTCTCGTCGCGTCTGACCTGGAACGGAGGGACTCGATCGCCTCGCGACGCCGTCAGCTGCGCTTCACCGCCACGCCGACGCAGCAGGTCGAGGCTCGTAAACGTGCACTCGCGAATGCAGAGGCTGACCAGGCGGCAGCGTCGATGCCGTGTCTGGATTCGCCACCTCGACCCCTTCCTGCCCTTCCAGCTCCGTCGCAGCCGACAACAGCGCCTGCCACGACTACAGCGGAACATCAAGACCGCGCATCGTTGTCATCGTCGTCGTCGTCCACCTCGTCGTCTTCGCCGCCTCTGGTCCCAACGTCATCTCTGGACCAAGTGCAACTGCGCAAGCACAAGATCCGAAAGAGTTCCATTTCGCGGCCCAACCCTCACCTCCTCCATCGGCCCGGTAAGACTAGACCTCCGATTCCCTTCCCGACTGCGCAAACCGGTAATGTCGGATCGACGACGGCACAGCCCAGTCTGCTTCGCCGCGTCATTCTGGGCAGCCATAGTCCCTCTTCCTCGCCGAGCCAGGATCCCGTTAGGAGGGTCGGTGTCAGTGGTCCGTCCATCTCCAGACCGCTCCCGCATCCGCTTGGCGGTCGCCTTCACACGCTTTCCTCGCCAACCCCGGCATCAAACAGTGCGATGGAAGGTGTGGTGTATGGGGACGGCGTTACTGTCGTTGACTTGTCTAGAGGTTCTGGTGAGGAGGCTGGGTGGACGCTTCGTTTGGGTGGTGAGGAGGGACCTGGGTCTGGTACGGGAGTAGCGCTTTGAGAACACCCGGCTCGATTGCTAATGGAGCTTGTTGTCCTGTCCAGTCCCAGCATTTCATCGCTGCGTTATGACATTCGCTCGTATTCATGGTGGACTCGATTGATCGATACTGCTAACGATACGCTTGCTCCGCCATAGACTAGGCTCTCCGGAGGCGTTTCACCTCGAGGCACTCGGTTATCTCGCTGCGGATCTGTTGAGCTAGTTTCGTGCTCATCAGATACGTCGATCCTGCGACGTCGCTGGCGCGCTTTCTGACGCGTGAGAGAAGGTCCTCGTCGTCGTCGTCATCGTCGTCGTCGTCATCGTCGTCGTCGTCGTAGTCGCCGTAGTCGAAGTCACTTTCGTACTCCTCGTCAGCTTCAAGGACCTCCTCCAGCTTTTCGAAAATCTTGTCGAGAACTGTCGCCAAAATACGGGTCACGATGGTGACCCGGTAAGGCTGGTGTCAGAATTGCTAGAAGTCGGCTCCGCGTCGGCGGACGACGCTCAAAGACTACCGGTACTCACTCTCAGAGGGTAGCAGCGAAAGCCGACTTTTGGGGTCGGTCCAGATCTTTCGCGTCGCATCTCTGAGCCAGCTGACCTGCTGTGGTATCACCTGGGCCGATGAGACGACGGGACAGGACGGGTCGACCAGCCAGAAGCAGACATACGTCAAGTGACCTGGCTTGCTGGCATCGACGAGCTTGACGGGCTTCATCCTGGATAGCAGCGTGCCAGGAAACGCGATACAGCCACCAGGAGGGATCGGAGCCGATCCAAGGAGCTGATACCCTCGCTCCAACTCGGCTCCAAGATTATACAGCCCGACGACATGGCTGTCGTCCCGGTCTACTTTCAGCCGTCCGTGGATACCTCTGTCGCTGACTGACAGGCAGAACTCCAGCGAGACCTTGCTCATGTTGTCCGAATCGAGGATGATCATTCCGGTCGCGCAGACCTTGCCATCCCAGGTGCCTGACCTCTGCCATGACTCGGTCGTGTAGACAGGCCGCTCCGGGCTGAGCTCGAGTGTTGTCAATCCGACACTGACCTGCAGGTTCCGGTCTCGAAGGTCGATCTTGCGTAGAGCAGGCGGCTCGAAGGGTGCGCTCGGAGGTCTGACGAATCGCTTGACTTGATGCCATCGCTGCTCGGCGTATTCGTCCAGCCTGTCCTCGAAACTCATGTCGTCATCAAACTCGGGCCAGCCGGAAGGGTCGGTCGCCCGCAGCTGCTTCTTGATCTCCGCGAACGAAGGCGCAAAGTACGAGTCGTAGCGTAGAGACCTGCCGCTGTTTTGGCAGTCCTTGGAGAACGGTGTGCCCATTGGTGACAGGAAGCCGATGTCCCCTCTCAACGGTGTCGAGGCCAACGCGCTTTCGAAAAGCGGCAGCATCGACGCAAAGCAAGCGGCGAGCGGCTCGTAGACTGCCTGAGAAGCCTCCTGGAAGGGCGAGAGGCCGTTGATATAGGACGAGAAGGTGGCGCTGGACTGCTCCTTGCTCGTTCCGACTCGGATCTCTGCGGGGATCCATCCAAGGGGGCGATCCCCTCGGTATTTGTAGCCCAGCGCGTCCTTGATACCTTTCAGGCTTGAGGGGTAGGGCGAAGTCATGGGCTCGATCTCTTGCGCCTTCTCCGTCGCAGGACGCTTGCGTTGATCGTTCGAATTCTTCTGCTTGAGCAGCATCAAAGCGGCAGTCGGGAGCGCAGAAGCGTGGTGTCCAGTGCTACTTGAGCGGCCCCTGGGGAGTCGTCCGGTGCAAGCGAGGAGGGAGTAAAGTGAAGGATCAACAAGATTCCACACCTGCCTGTTGGAGCCCGTCTGATGATCCCGCGCGTGTGCAGGGATTGATCGGGAGTAGTCGATAACCTTGGCCTTCAATACAGAGCCGTCGGAGCCCAAGAAGTTGGCGGCGGTGGTAAAGACGCCGGGGACGGCGGTGTAGTCGACGCCTTCGCGCGGCGGATGGCGTGCCATGTAGCGTAGCTTGGACATCATGTACGTGGCCTGGTCCGGAGTGAGAGCTCGGCGACGGACGAGTTCTTGCATCAGGCCCACAGCGTCTGTTTCTGTCAAGACCTCGACCTTCCACGCCTTCTTTCGGAGAATTTCGCCAATCTCCGTGTTGATCTGGCGTTCCGCGACCGTGTAGGGCTCCGCTGCCGGGTTGTTGCCATCCGGAGCGCAGTAGTGAGAAAAGCTGTAGACATGTTGGTACCCGTCCGGGCCGCCACCGAGCAGCCGCGATCCAACGAAGGCGGCAACACGAAAGACGTCGTCCATGGGCGCGCCCTCGTCCTGAAGGGTGGAGAGGAGCTTGTTGAAGTTGTCCGGCTCTCGTAGCCAGGCGCCATCCTCCCTCAGCCGGTTGACGCGAGCGAGCGTCTGGGGGTCAGAGCAGTGTTGCAGGCAGATGGGTTGCGAGTCGTTGATCCGGTCCCTGTCGAATTCGATCCGCAAGCTGTCAGGTCGCCAAGCCTCTTCACTTCCGTCGATGTCCAACCAGGCGAATGGGTTGGCACAGACCGGCGACTGGAATTCCTCCCAGTCGAAGTCGGTCGGGACGGCGACAAGGAGGGAGGGCAGCGTCTTAAGATGGAGTCGATCCAAGGCGCGTTGGAATGCAAGATAGGCGTCCATCGAGATCGGCTCCGCGTGTGGGCGTGTCTCGACGTCAACCCACGAATGGTACATGCGGCTCGAGCAATCCTGGTATCGCTTTTCGAGTTGCTCAGGGAGGGGTTGCTGTCCGTTCTCGTTGCGTAACAACGCCTCCGCAAAGCACGAGAAGGCGCGGGCCGGGACGCCGATCCCGTACAGGGGCAGGATGCCGGTGCAGAGATCGATGAGAGTGGCGTGCAGCTCGGGAGAGACGCGGACGCGCGTTGGGGGTGGCGAGGCCATGGTTGGCGATGCTGACTTCTCCAGACGGAAAGGATGCAGGACGTAAGATGAAGAGAGCGGTATGGAGATGGTGTTGGGAGGGAAGAAAGAAAGGGCCCGGTCTACGTTTCAGCTTGTGGTCGGACAAGATGGGCGATAGATAGGCAGAGCGGCCTGAAATTGGGAAGCTGAGCGTCCTGAATGAAGCAGCACACCGCGGAAAACCGGCCTCTGCCCCTCGGAAGTAAAGGGAGATCATTTGGTCGCAGTAGAACAAAGGCGATCTGTTATGATTGTTGGGTTCAGGGGGAAGTCCGAACGGTCCGTGTGCCCTCGCCCTCAATATCTGCCGGGGCGTAGGAAACGCGCACGAGCTTCAGGTTTGACGAGGTCTGGGATCGACGAGGTCCGGGATCGACGAAACAAAGGCATTCCCCACCTGCACTCGGCCGAGGTCATTTTACATAAGTACGTCCCGCAGTGTGAAGCGTTGCCGGGACCGCGATGGAACCTGTAGCAACGCGACAGGCCCGTCCGCCTCTTCTCCTTCTTCAAGCTCAGGGTAGAGCACCCCGCGTGAGGATCTATATAACGACGGCGGACGCGATGATGAGCTGCGCCAGTCGTCTCCCTCTGCTCTTGCTCACGGCTCGGAAGTCGCTCGATGTATCGCCCTCGATGTATCGCCGGTCGCCATCGAGGCTCGGACCAAGCCACAGTCAATTTTGTTACTAGTCACAACTCTCCCCCTTCGCTTGCCTTGGGTAGCCTAGAGTTTTGCGGACCTCCCCTTCCGCCAGCTCGACGTCGGGATCTCTAGTCGGCAGAGTCGTAGAGTTCCTTTTCCAATCGATCCGCGAAGTCGTTTCGGTTTTTGAGAGCTAGCCTCGTGCTCATTGTAAACTCCGGCTTCGCAGACTCGCTCGCCCGCGCCTGATCTTCAAGCCGTAGAGCGCACTTCGTCTTGTTGCGCTTCCTCAGGCCTCTCTCGTTTGCTTCGAGAAGCTCCTCCAGCTCATCAAAGATCATTTCGAGCACTGCCACCGACAAAGCAGACGAGTAGGGTGCGGACAGAATTCTGTCAGGCGTGCTCACATCCATTTGCAGCTGTGCAAACGCTCATCAAGGTTGCGCAAATTAGCACTCATGGCTCACCCTCGATAGGCAGCAGCGAGAACAGGCTCTTGGGATCGCGCTGCATTCCTCTCATCGCTTCCTTCACCCAATCGACCTGTTGCGGTACCACTCGTGCAGTCGACACGACCGAATCAGACGGATCGACGAGCCAAAATCGGACGAGCGTCAGGTGTCCTGGCCTCTTGGCATCGAGGAGTTTGACGGGATCCATCTTGGTCGACAGCGTCGCGGGGAACGCGAGATACTGCCCCTGGCCGATGGAGGCAGATCCGAACTCCTCGCGGTTGAACACGGCTTCCATGTCCGGACCAAAGAGGCCAAGAATGTGATCTTGTCTTTCGCCGTCTGCCAGCGCCTCTCCCATCCCCACGCCCGAGCCCTGTTCGATGGAGAAATCGAACGAGACGCCGGCGACGTTGTTCGCGTCGAGGCAGTGGACTCCTATAACGCAGATGGGGCAAGGGTTTCGCTCCATGTCGAGCCAAGAGTCGTCCTTGTATATCGGCTGGTCTGGCGTCAACCGAAATGTCGAGATCCCTACAACGACCTGCAGGACACGGCCATCGAGTCTGAACTTGCGCATCGCCGGTGGCTCGAATAAAGCGACAGGAGGCGTCATGAAGGCTTTCACCTGACGCCATCGATACTCAGCGTAACGGGCCAGTCTCGTCCCTGGTCTACCGGTGTTGAATTGGCGAGGCCAGGTCGTCGGGTCCGTTTTCGCCACCTCGCTCCTTACTTCTTCGAAAGACGGCGAAAAGTATTGCTTGTAAAGCTTGTGATTGCGGCTGTTCGGCTCCTCTTGGGAGAACGACGTCCCGTCGGGTGAGACAAAGGCCCTGTCCCCACGAAGTGGAGTCGAGGACAGCACGCTCTCGAAAAGCGGCAGCATCGTGGCGAAACACGTCGAGAGGGGCTCATAGAGAGCATGCGATGTCTCTGAAAAAGGCGAGAGACCATTGATATATGACAGGAAGGTGGCGCGAGGCCGACCTTGACTGAGCGTGGTGCGGACTTCAGCGGGAAGCCAATGTGTTGTGTCGCCTTCTGTGTACTTGAGCCTAGGCGTGGTGGTTGCGTCTCTCTCAAGCGTTGCGGGGTAGGGTGGCTTCATCGATACATCCGACAAAGTCGCCTTCGGCCCCGGTGTGTGTGGATTTGTCGGATGGATCTGCTTGAGCAATGCGTTGGCGACGTGCGAGAGAGCAGAAGGCTGACCATCTGAGCAGCTCGAGAAGTGCTGAGGAAGCAGAGGCGTCCACTCGTGAAGCGCATGCAACGAAGGGTCGACAAGGTTCCACACCTGTTTGTCGGCGCCTGCCTGGTAGTCCCTCCCGGTCTCAAAGACTGACCGAGCAAAGTCGATGACCCTGGCTCTCAAGATGGAATTCTGAGCCTCGAGCTGGCCGAGATGGATTGTGAAGACACCTGGCACTCCGGTGAAGCTGACCCCTTGCCGAGGCGGATGAAGGGCCATGTACCTCAGCTTGGCGATCGTGTAGTCGGCCTGACAGTGCGAGAGGCCTCCTTCGCCAACAATCTCCCTTTTCAGCCTGTCGGCGGTCTCTGGCTCGAAGACACTTGATTGCCATGCCGGCAGTTCCATGAGTCGACGAACTTCGGCATCGACCTTGCGCTCGGCAATGGTGTATGGCTCAGACACCGGCTTACTGCCAGTGGGAGCGCAGTGATGATCGAATCGGTAGATGTGCTGGTGTCCGTCGGGGCCACCGGCAAGCATCCGCGAGGCCAGAAATGAGGCAATAGTCAAGGCATCGTCGAGCGGCGCACCTTGTCCTGAAGAGAAGCAAGGAGTTTGTTGAAGTTGGCCGGCTGCCGAAGCCATGTGCCGTCTCTCTTGAGCCTGTTGACGCGAGAGAAGTTCCAAGGATCTGAGCAGTGGTGAACGCAGAGGGATCGCGCCTCCTCCTCCTCATCATCACCATCCTCCTCGTCCCAGGCTCGATCGCGTGCAACTTCCAGCTTGACGCCGTCGGACTTATGCCAGGGCTTCAGACGGCTGATGAGTTCAGCTCGACCGATACCGAACTCAAAGTACCTCTCGTAACCTGCTTCATAGCATGGGACGAGGACAAGTAATGAACGGAGCGTCTCGAGTTGGAGGTGCTGCAAGGTACGATCAAGAGCGCAGTACGCAGATATCGAGATGGGATCTGTCTCCGGCAAAATGTTTTCGTATTGTGGCATCGAGATGTCGCGGGTGCGCCAGAGGTCGTAACTACGGTCCAGACGTCGAGGCAAGGGTTGAAGGCCGTTCTCGATGCGTATCAGAGCCTCTGCAAAGCATTGAAATCCGGGAGCAGCCACACCGACGCCGTACAGAGGCAATATGCCGGTGCACAGGTCGATGAGTGTGGCGTGCAGCTCGGAAGAGACGCGGATGCGCAAAGGCGGCGGCGAAGCCATGCTGGCGGATGCGGTCTTGGGCTTAGAAGGGGGAAAGTAGCCGGCGGCGAGGTTACAATTATCCTTAAGGCGAAGGGAGGGGGCGACAGCAGCGGTAGGAGGGTGACGAGAGGATACGGAGGACGTGGCGGACGTCGTGACGAGCCCGGACGGTGAGTGCGAGCGAGGAGCGTTCGCACTGCTCGGCGTGCGGAGGAAGGCTTGTCGTCAGCTGCCGTGGAGCGGTGATGGCGAGTGCGATGGTGGTGGTGGTGGTGGTGGTGACGAGGGGGCAAGAGAGAGACTTCTGCAGCTGGTCAAGCTCTCGCCGGGGCGTAGCCAAGTGTGACGAGGTTTGGGATCGGCGGGACAAAGCGACTCGGCCCCACCTGCGCACGGCGCTCGGGCGTGCAGAGGGGCAGCACAGACCTCGTCATGGTTGCATCGGCGACCTGAGTCCATCGGATCGCACTTGTATGGTCACTATTGTGTTCGTATTCCCAATTGGTCTCGAGTGCGGATAGGGAGGTAGAAGGCGGCGTGAGTGAGTTTGCCCGGCGCGACGGAGGTCCTGGAAAGCTGCCACCACCTGGGCCTTCCCGGCCCCTCATAGTCCTCGAATCGGGTGGTCTGGAAAAGCGTGCGTCCCCCTTCGAAGGCAGTGGCAGGTCCTTGTCTTTTCAACCGAGGAAAATGGGATGGAGAGCGCCGCGGAAGCGCCTCGCCTCATGATGGTCCCAGTTCTTCGCAGCCCTGCTGCTGCTCATCCAGAACGCCGACCGAGCTGGCGCGCGAGGGAGGCCAAGGAGTGTAGCGGGCTCGGAAAGGGCACCGATCGAGCTCCTGCGACCGGCACCGTTGAGGGAGCGGTCGGGTCTTGCGATGATGGTACTGATGATGAAGAGAAGAGAAGCAGCAAACGAAGTGAAATGGGAGGTGAATGTCGTGGCCCTGGTAGAGCAAGAGGGACCGTCGCTCGCTCACGCCATCGCAATGCAGGGGCGAAAAGGGGGCGATGCAGGGACATGGTCCAGGCTGGCACGCGCCCGTCGGCTTCATCGATGGCGGTCCTGCGACGTGCTTTCGCTCTGACAAGCCTGCGGCTGCCACGATCAACAGCGCCTTGATACGCTGAAAGGATGGCGCCGTAAACGACGACGACGTCGCCGACCGAAGAGAGCTTGGTCCAGCGTCGAGATCCGAACGCTGCTTATGATCGTCGTCGAGAGCCAAGTCAAGATCACGGCCGCCACCGCGGACGGTCTCGGCGCGAGCACGCAGCATGGCCTCGAGATGGGAGAAGATGCGATCGATGACTTCGCCCGGCAGCATTGACAGCCGGCTTGCAGGCTCCGTCTCAAACGGCCTGCGTCGCCTCCATATGCCAGCCAGCCGTCCACTGCGTCACTTGCGGAGTCGACGTCGATCCAGGGCTCGAAGTCATCCTCGTATGGGACCGAGGCGCAGGCGTTGAGCACTTCCTGTGCAACCATCGTCGTTTGCCTATGTATGTGTGGTGTGAACGAGCTCGTAGCAAGAGCGTGCACGTACAGGCCCACCCTCATTCCTCTCCCGGGATCCAGCGCGAGGCGGTGCGCGAGGGCCTGATGCAGAGTTCCGGCGAGAGGATGGCGTCCAGGACGTGGTCCCTCTCGTCGGCAGGGACCCGAAGCTCGCTGGCCAGAACTTGCTGCGAAAGGGCCAGCGCCACTGGCAATCAAGCATCATCAAGGTCGAGCAAGGATCATGAGCAAGGCATCGTTCAGCATCGAGCGCATCGAGCGTAGGCAACGGTGGACTGGACTCACCGGTGACAGGACCCGGCCTGCCTCTCCCCTGCGCCCACTGGTCGGCGCGCGTGAAGTAACGGTCATAGTAGCCCTTGCCGTGGCCGAGTCTACCGCCGTCAACGTCAAAGGCGACGCCGGGCGCCAGGATGAGGTCCAAGCCGTCACCACCGGTCGACTCGGTCAGCGCTGTCGTGGGCCGGCACGGTGTGCGAGCGGGTCGGACGGAGCCAAAGGACAGGGCGCGTGTGAGCACGATGTAGCCCGAACGTTCCCGATCGCGGCCAGCGCAGCTCTCCGGTGGGATGATCCACCTGCCTCACCTTCTTCGCGCAAGGTTCCGTCTTGGTAGGTGAGCTCCGGCTCCTTGATCCCCCACCGGTTGAGCTTCATCGCTTCGTACTCTGCAAGGTCCCGCAGCCGCAGCATGACCATGTCGGTCGCAAACGTCGTGGCCGCAGGTGCGGGCGCGGCATCGACTGTGGGCCCCTTGGCCGCCGCCGGATCGACGGGCGAGGCAAACAGCGGCACGTAGAGGCTCTTTCCTAGACACGAGGAGATACCAAAAAGGACGGGAGGCGGTGTCAGCCGTCGCACGTTCGGCATTGCCGGATCTCGCACTGTCGGCTGTTCGGCTCACCGTCTCTCAGGATGGCTCGGCAGATGTCGTCGGTCATGACCTCGCCGACGTCCATGTTGACGTAGACGCTAATGGAACGGGCGCTGTGATAGGTGGGGGAGGTAAGCACCTTGCGCGCGACTCTCTGTGCTGTTCGGAGGGCAGCCGATATCGGTAAGGGCGAGGAGAGCCAGGGTCAATGGCGGATGCTTCCGGTGGCATGGAGGAAGTGGGACCAGCTGCGTGATGTCCCTCTCACATTGGGAGGCGATGTCTTCCCTGGCCATGCCCGCTAGCGTCACTGCCATCGACTTCCTGAGCGACCGTTTCGCGGCCTTGATGGCGGCGGCTGCGGTCGACGACGGGGCCGCCATGTCTGCCGACATTCAGCTCGCACGTTCGACGGCGTTCCAGGGCTTGCTGTGCGCAGCGGTCAGGGGTCGGAGCGTGTCTATCTATGCCCGAATATGGAGCGGAGCGATCCGACAAAAGTGGCAGCAGTCGGCGAGCAAGCTGGCCAGCCAGAAGCGTAGGGATATGTGGAAGGCAGGAGGAGGGTGCCAGGCAGAGCAGAGTGGGGTCGAGGGGTCGGGAAGCGGCCGGCAAGACCCCGGGCAAAGGCCGAAGCCGAGGCCCCGATGGCTAGCGATCGGGCCGGGAGCCCCCGAAACGGAGCCGGCAGGGCAGGCACCACGTCCAAATTTTTCTCCACAAGCCTGAGTCCGGGCAGGCCGGGCAGGCAGGCAGCCAGAAGAGAGGGGGGCCTGCGGGGCTGCTGGCTTTCTTCCGAAGCAGGGGCTGGCTGGCTGGCTGGCTGGCTCATCTCTCCCGGCGCCAAAGTTAGAGCTCGGAGGGCCCGGTCGGTGCCACCGCTCGCTGCCATTGAGAGTGATCCTAGCCTCCTAACCCCCGACCCTTCTTGCACACCCGCACGCCTGCCTCCGCCTTTCTCCCTCCCTCCGTTCTCTTTATCGCCATCCGCACTGCTTGGATCGGCGCTCGCTACTGCCGCACTTTGACGGATCGTCACCGACCAGCAACGGAGCAGCACCGCCGGCGCACGTCGTCCCCGTACTCGACCCCGACCTCGATTCCGACCAGACCACGCCAAAGATGCCTGGAGTCAACTCGATCCGCCTCTTGACGGGCAACAGCCACCCTGAGCTGGCCCAGCTCGTGGCCGACAGGCTCGGCATCCCGCTCACGCCGTGCATCTGCAAAAAGTTCGCCGACCAGTCCATCGACGTGCGCATCGGCAGCTCGGTCCGCGACGAGGACGTCTACGTCCTCCAGACGGGCAACTCGCCCTACACCGATCCCAACGACTCGCTCATGGAGCTCCTCATCCTCCTCTCGGCCTGCAAGACCGCCTCGGCCCGGAGGATCACCGCCGTCATCCCCTCGTTCCCCTACTCGCGCCACGACAAGAAGGACAAGAGCCGCGCCCCCATCACTGCAAAGCTCGTCGCAAACATGCTCACCGTCGCCGGTGCAGACCACGTCATCACCATGGACCTCCATGCAAGCCAGATTCAGGGCTTCTTTGACATCCCCGTCGACAACCTCACCTCGGAACCCAGCGTCGCCCGCTGGATCCGCTCCAAGGTCGAAAACTGGCGCGACGCCATCATCGTCAGCCCCGACGCCGGCGGCGCAAAGAGGTGAGAGCGGCATGCGCGACCCAGTCTCTGACTCCTCGAGATGCCTGTCGCTGCGACCCTTCAGCTGGCTGATTCTTTTCCCCCGCGCTCCGTGTGTTTGTCGCTCACTAGGGCCACGTCGCTCGCCGATGCGCTCGGCGTCGACTTTGCGCTCATCAACCGCAATCGCAAGCGTGAGCAGAACAAGCGCATCCGCGCCGCGCAGAAGAAGGAGATGGGCCTCTCGAGCAAGTCGTCGTTCGACGACCTCCGCTCCGGCCTCAGCACGCCCATGTCGAGCTCGGTGCTGCTCGATGGCACGGGACTCAACGCCGGTGTCGGCGCCACCTCGCAGCCCGTCGGCAGCAGCAGCGTGTCGGCGCGTTTGACCGCGCTCAAGAACTCGGAGAGGGCCAACGCTGCCGACGTCAGCTCGGCCACCGACCAGCTCAGCCACCTCAGCGTCGAGGGCCAGGCGGCGGCGGCAGCAGCTGCCGCGGGGTCCAAGCACGTCTACAGCGACATTGCCAACGGCGTCAAGTGCGCCGAGACTGGAGAGTGGATCATGACCGACGGTGAGGGTCACCGGGTGCGCAGCGGCGGCGCGCGCGACCGCAACGAGAGCGGGACCGAGGCCGACGACTCGGACGACGAGACGTCGACACGGATGGAGATCCTCGTCGGAGACGTCAAGGGCAAGGTGAGTCGCGACGCGACCCGGCGCCGTACGCCGCTTGACGCTAACTTTGCACCGCCTCGTCCCTCCTCGCCGATCGCTGCGGGCAGGTGGCGATCCTGGTCGACGACATGGTGGACACGGGCCGGACGCTGGCGCTGGCGGCCAAGACGCTCGAGGACGCGGGCGCGGCCAAGGTGTACGCCATCATCACCCACGGCCTGCTGAGCGGCCAGTCGGTCGAGCTGCTCAAGAAGCTCAGCCTGGAGAAGCTCGTCGTCACCAACACGATCGCCAACGCCGAAAACGCCGCCCAGAGCGGCGGCAAGCTCGAGATCATGGACGTGTCGGCCGTCATTGGCGAGACGATCCGCCGCTCGCACCACGGCGAGTCGATCTCGCAGCTCTTCAGGCAGGACGCCGAGATGATGTTCTAGCAGCGGGCCCAATTCCCGCCCCGGACTCGATGCGGTCCGCGCCGTCCCGGCTTACTCTCTCTCGCGCCGCCCGCTAGCTAGCTTTCGAAAGAAATGTATATCCTCGATCGACGCCTGGTACGGTCCGAGAGCGTGACGGATTCATGAAGCGAGGCTGGCAGGGACTTTGTTGAGGGGGCCCATGGTCCCTGTTGGCGGGACCCGGGCATGGACCGCCCCAGCACGAGGCGACGTACGAGGCTATCGGCTCGAGGACGGCCTTTTGCCAGTTCCCCGTGCGTGAGACAGACGCGGACAAAGAGGCGCGACCTCCTCGCCCGATCTTGCTGAGTTCCGAGGGGGCCCTCGACCGGCAAGAACTTCTCGACGAGCAAGTCGAGAACCGTTCCGATTTTTGAGGGATGAATGGATGGATGTACGAATGTACATCCGACGTGCGGCCGCGGCTTTCGGCGTTGGTCAACGACCGAAGTGGCCAGCACTTCAGCAGGCACGCGGACCTCAAGACGAGGTTTTAAATCGTCGTTGCGCGAACGTGAGAGAGCGATTCTTCGGGCCGCTGAACCGGAAAACGCCCAAGCGTCGTTGAGGCGGATATGAGCGGCGGCGAAGCAGGCGTGGACGACGATGGATGCAGACTGGGCGAGCGCTGATGGATCGGCCCAGAGGAGGCCTTCCCGATGTGCCGGAAAAGCTCCTCTCTGCTGGCTGGCTGGCTGGCTGGCTGGCTGGCTGCCTGCACGCGTTCACAGCCAGCCGATGCGACGTGCAGCCTCGTATCGCAGGCCGGGCGAGGATGCATGCAAAGAAGGACTCGGGCGCAGAGCCGAAAAGCTGCGCTTGTTTCCGAAACGCCCAGCGGGCTGGCTAGCCTGCTGGCCCAAGCTGGCCGGCTCTCTGACTCGCTGACTTGCTGATCTGCTGGCTTGCTTGTTGGCTGCCAAGCAGTAGGTAAGTAGCATCTTGGCCAACTCTTGCGGCAGAGCCGGCGGGCAAGCAAGCTAAGAAGGCAGCGTGCGTGCGTGGCGGTGTCGGGATGGCGGCGGGCCAGCTTTCGGAAGCAGGCCGATGCAGCTGTTGGCAGGGCAGACGGCGGTGCGACCTGCCAACCCAAGTCAGAGCAGGCCAG